GACTCTACTAGGTATTTGTTCATGAGTCGTAGAACCTATGAACCAAGCTAGCTCTGATACCAACTTGTCACGACCCAAAATTTCACCAAGTCATGAGGCACCTAACCTAACATGCTAGGTAAGCTAACCAAGATATAACACAGCTAGAATATAAGCCATCAAGTAAATAACATAATAAGAATACATAATCAATACATCTATCCCTAAAAACTGGTAGTTAAGTCATGAGCGACTAAGAATAGGAATACAACTAAAATGAAGAAAGATTACATCATCTTTTTGGAATATACATAAACAAAATTAAAAGTCCTAAACTACCATGAACAAAGTGGTAGCTTGCTACTGGAACACTAGTTCATCTTCAATGCTAGCCTTCACAATCCGCAAAAGCTTAGCTCCAAAATCTGCAGGCAAGATGCAAAAGTATAGTATGAGTACAATCGGCCTCATTTACTCAGTAACTTGACTAATCTCAATGAAATAGTGACAAGATTTTTAAGTCAAAAGATACTCATTTTATATATAACCTACAACTCAATAACATGTATAATGACAGAGAAATATCCACGAAATGGCCAAATAATATCGGATGTCAACAATAAGGTGCAAAATTCCAGAAGAATGTAATAAGCATACTTTTCAAATAACCAGATCAAAGCATGTACAAGTGCACCAAATCTGTGTATCAAGGAAGTATACACTAAGCAACTTAAATCATGTACTTTACATGTTCGCAAAATGGATTATGCATGATAAACACCTATTTTCTCAACAATTTTGAAATAGCTTTATATGAATGCTTCTACATGGGTTCAATATGACACTGTATGATAAAACTCACCCTTTTTATCAATCTGACACTCTCCAAAATAACAACTTACTAGAAAGTCCCATGCATATGTATAATGCACCAACTAGCATATGTAGAAGATACGCATGAATAAACCATGTAAAGTACATGAATTTGCTTAAAGGATTCACTTGAACGTTCAAAGATTTTACCTTTATGCTCAAAACTCATCACATGGGATCACACATCACAGTCAACTAGATACTCGTCGGTCTCTCACAACATGTATGCACGCCATCAAAAGAGAAATATAAGAGGGCGATCCAAGGGGGTGGATCCATACACACACCTTGCATAGCAGAAACCTCATGCAAAGCATGGTAGAAATCTCGTGCTATATTAATGTCAATATCACCATAGGCACACGGCAGAAACCTCATGTCGTAACAATAACAAAATCGCATGGTAGAAACCTCATTTCATAACCCCAGTCTATATCATAGGACCATATGCAGGAGTGTATGCATATGAATAAGATGTGATCTCTATGAATGGTATATACATGTATATAATGTATGACTACAACACGATCATGTAATCTATCTATCTATCTATCAATTGATCATTATGTCCAATTAAGTATCAAAGGCCTAAACATGATCTCTAACATGAACAAAGGGGACTCAAGTAGTCATGCAATAGTCTAAGGCATATCACCAGAATAACATGTATAGATGGGTGTTCATAACATACGTGTGACTACGACCAAATCAAGTACATTAACAATCTCGAGAATAGCTCATCATGCCAAAAATAAGGTATCATTAACCGAAACATTATCTCTAGCATGGATTACGTAGTCATTCAATAGAGTGAAAAAACAGAACAAGTAGAACACACAACCAAATAAGGCATAAAGTAGTCTAGAATCTACCTCAAGCATGAATAACCATGGCACATATACGTTCCACTACCTTGCATATACATCATCCCCGCATGTAGAAAATAATACCATCTATTATAAAAATTCTCTCAACCAAAGCTAGATAAAACACTTATCTCATTCGGGCTAGTCTAAAGCTTCAAAATTGCTTTTTATTTAAAAATCACGTCCAACCATATCAAATCTAGCTAATAATCTTCCAAGGAAGCCACGTAATATTATAGGAAGCAACCCAATTAATAAATCTTCAATCTTTGAATAATGTTTTAAAAAATCAACAAAAGTGAATCCGAACACATGTGCCCAAAATCCAGAACCAATACCAAATTTAAATAACCCACCTTCCGAGTACAAATATGTGATTATATTTCAAATTTAAGTCCAAATCGGTACTCAAATTTCAAAAATACACCCTCTTAAGTTGTAGACAAATCTCTCAAATTTCAGTTTGAAATTACATATTCTAGGTATAGAAATCTATGGG